ACTATCTTCTTTTTTTTATTAATTAATTTTTATTTTATGTGTATGAGTGTCATGCCTGCATGTGTGTAAGTGCAGCTGTGTCATGCAGTGCTCACAGAGGACAGAAGAGGGCTCCAGATCCCCTGGAACAGGAGTTATGACAGTATTAGCTGCCATGTGGATGCTGGGATTCAAACCTGGGTCTTCGGCAAGAGCAACCAGTGCGCTTAACTACTAAGCCATCTCTCTAGCCCCTCCATTGTCCATCTTTACAATACTCTCATGAGGCAGAAAGCTGGGACAAATGGCAAAAGTAGCCAGATCCTTTCTACCTTTGTCTGCTTGCAGCAGGAATTCCCCCAAGATTCCATTCAGAGATGGACCAATAGACTCTTAGCATAATACATGGCAGAGACTTGGGAGAGTCTTGTCCTTCTCTGTTGGTAGCTGGGAAGCCAACACCCTTGCCCAGGCAGCTTCAGCAAGGTGAGAGTCTCACAGAGGATGGCCTCGGCTATGACAGCCATCCCAGCTCAAGCCCCAGAAATATAAACCAGGCTACCCCTACACATGGTGGTGTTTTGGAAGGTGAAAATTGGAGGGTTAGAAGTTCAAGGCCAGCCTAAGCTACGAAAGATACTATCATAATCATCTAGCCCAGAAGAACCACCCAGAAGACCCTCGGAATCATGATATATAACCAGTAACATCTTTTTATCACTTAAAACCACAAATTTTGGGATGGTTTGCTCTTCAGCAAAATTGAATTGGCACAGAAGCCTAAGTTCCTTTTGAAAGTATAAAATGTCTTTTGTTTGTTCATTTTAGACAGGGTCTCACTACTGGCTGGCCTGGAACTTGCTATGTAGACCAGGCTGGCTTCAACTCTGGCTAGTCAGATCCACCTACTTCTGCCACCTGAGTGTTGGGGAAAAAAGTGTGAGCCACCACACATAACCTAAAATGTCGTTTTTAAATTTTATTTTTGTGGGGGATGCTAAAGAGATGGCTTAATTAAAACACTTGATGTTCAGGAGCTGGGGAGATGGCTCAGAGGTTAAGAACACTGGTTGTTCTTGCAGAAGACCCGGATTCGAATCCCAGCATCCACATGGCAGCTAACAATTGTCCGTAACTCCAGTTCCAGGGGATCCAATGGCCTCTTCTGTCCTCCGTAGGCATTGCATCACACGGTTGCACTTACCTATATGCAGGTAATACACTCATACACATAAAAAATAAATAAATTTTTTTAAAAAAATCAAATAAAAATAAAGTTTAAAAAAAAGAACACTTGCTGTTCTTCCAGAGGATCCAGGTTTGATTCTCAGCACCCATATGGGTGGGTAACAACCACCTGTAACTCCAGTTCCAGGGGATCCAACGCCCTCTTCTGACCTCTGTGGGCACTGCATGCATGTGATGTACTTATACGCATGTTGGCAAAACACTCATACACATAAAATAAAAATAATTAATAAAAAAAATTTTTTTTGATCTTTTTGAGACAGGGTCTCCCTGTAGCTCCAGCTGTCCTGGAACTCACTATGTAGACCAGGCTGGCCTTGAACTCACAGAGATCCACCTGCCTCTGCCTCCCAAGTGCTGGGAAATTTTATTTATGTGCATGTATATGGGGGGGTGGCATGCACAAGTCATACATATGGAGGTCAGAGGGCAACTAGGAGGAGTCAGTTTTGTCCTTCTAGGTCCTTCTAGTATGTGGGTCCCCAGGATGAAACTCAAGTCATCAGATCAGGTAACAAGTACTCTAACCCACTAAACCATCTTGCCAGCTCAAAAATGTCCAATGTCCCTTTTTTTTTCTTTTTTTTTTTAGTCTTTTTGAGACGGGGTCTCCCCAGCTGGTCTGGAACTCACTATGTAAGCCAGGCTGGCCTTGAACTCACAGAGATCTGCCTGCCTCTGACTCCCAAGTCCTGAGATTAAAGGTCTTTTTTTAAACACATACACAGAGACACGCATACATGCACACATAAAATCCTTTTGTTTGTGTTTTTGTTTTGTTTTGAGACAAGGACTCACTGTGTAGTCCTGGCTAGCCTGAAATTTACTATGTAGAGCAGGCTGGCCTCAAAATTACAGAGATCCACCTGCCTCTGCTTTTGCCAAGTACTGGAATTTTTGTTTTGTTTTGTTTTGTTTTAGGTCTCTTTGAGACAGGGTCTCTATGTAGTTACAGCTGGCCTGGAACTCACTACATAAACCAGGCTAACCTTGCTCTCACAGAGCTGCCTGCCTCTGCCTCCCAAGTGCCAGGACTAAAGGCATGCACCACCACACCCCACTGATATTTTGTTTTGGTTTTTAAAAATATTTTATTACTTTAATTTTATGTGTATAATGCCTGCATGTATATTAAGTACACCTGTGTCATGCAATGCCTAGAGGCCAGAGGAGGGCATCAGATCCCCTGGAACTGAAATTAAGGAGGGTTGTGAGTTGTCATGTGGGTGCTGGGAACCAAACCTGTGCCCTCAAACTGCTGAGCCATCTCTCTGGCACCAATACCTGCAGTTCTTGATAATGAACATTTGAGCCCTCAGTATGTACTCTGAAGAATTCCTCCAAGTGTGAAAATCCAGTCCCCCAACCGAAGTATACTATAATTATTACAGATGAGGAAACAGGTGCTGAACTGCAAGGAACAAGCTCCCTTAGTTCTGCCACTGTGCAAGTTCCTGGGCTCTCCAGACACACAGAATCTCAGGGTAAAGCCCAGGAACCTGCATTTTCAGCCAGCTGCAGAGATCATTTTGGTGCACGGGAAAGACTCAGAGTCCCTGGGTTGGTGCTGTCCCGGAGCTGTCAGCCCTAGGAACCTGCCATCCTACGAACCAAAGTCTCACCTCTGCCTTCCCTGCACTGTGGATGGTCAGGACCTTGGAGGATAAAATCCAGCTCACCAGGTCCCAAGCCTGTTTGTCTGTGTCTCCATTGGCCTGGAGAAGTTCCTTCAGGTTCGGTAACCTGCCAGCATCTGCAAGCTGAAGAAAGAGCCTCCATCAGCAAGGATCCCAAATAAAGTGGCGATCGGGCGCCCTCTAGTGGCAAATTTCACTCCTTCTGTTTAGAGAAAGTCACAGGCCTTCAAACTCCCCCAAATACCAAACCCTGAAAGCCCTAACCTCTGAAAGGCTTTGTTTCCTTTTAGTCACTTGGTAAAAAACATGACCTGAACTGAGGAAGGTTCTTTTTAGTATTCATCCTGTTACAATAGATGGGTTTTAACGTTATTGTGTGGTGTGGGATTGCTTGAGGCCGCAGGAATTCCTGAATCCATGGTAGATAGATGGTGAGGGTAGAGGGCTAGGGATGCCTTTTCCCTTCAGCTTGACAATGGATTGGTGCTATTCCTAACCTTCCCACCTCTACCTTCTTTCACTCCCAGGCTTCTTTTTCTAGTCCCTGTCCATCACCCCCTGGGGGTGGTTATTTGTAACTCATCACTTTTTATCTGCTCTCAGCCAGGCAGGTCCTGTGCATAGGTTGCTGGGAGGAACCTGAGTGAAATGTGGGAGCAGTGCTAAATAATCATCAAAGTATTCATTGTTGGGCCAAGATATTTCAGCAAGTAAAGGTACTTGCCCCCAGGACCCACATGGTGGAATAGAACTAACTCCTACAAGTTGTCCTCTGACCTCCACACATGCACCATAGCATACGCACCCACACAATAAATAAATAAATAAATAAATAAATAAATAAATAAAAATAAATAAATAAATGTTAAAAAAAATAATTGGAAGAAAAGTCTCAAAACAGGGCCTGTCAATAATCTATCACTAAGGGGGTAGAGGCTCATGAGGCTCCACCCCTCCCTAAGAATCTGTTCTACTTTGCTTTTCTGTTGTGATAAAACTGTCTCACCAGGGACTGGAGATGGCTCAGTAGTTAAGCACGCTGGCTGCTCTTGCAGAGGCCCCAGGTTCAATTCCTAGCACCCACATGGCTAACAATTGTCCATAACTCCAGTTTCAGGGAATCTGACGCCCTCTTCTGGTCTCCATGGGCACTGCATGATATGCTCACATGCTGGCAAAAAAAACATTTTTTTAAAAGAACATTCTGACTAATAGCAGCTTAGGGGAGAAAGGGTCAATTTCAGCTTATACTTCAAGTAACTGTCCATTAATGAAAAATCAGGACAATCTCAAGAAGGACACTGGAGCAGAAACCATGGAAGGCTGTTTGCTGGCTCAGGCACTGGTCATGCTCAGCTTGCTCTCATACAGCAAGGCCCATCTACCTAGAGATGGTGTCACCCACAATGTGCTGGGCCCTTTCATATCAATCATCAATCAAGACAATCTCTCACAGACATGGCCACAGGCCAATATGATGGAGGTAATTCTTCAACTGAGGTTCCCTCTTCCCAGATGACTCTAGGTTGTATCAAGCTGACAGGATCTATAGGCAGTTAATGGTTGATGGTGGTGGTGTAGCCACTTATAAGGGGCCCTTCTTTGCACCTGTAAATAACCCCTCACCCATGATCCTGTAAGCAACCCTAACAAAACTCATTGAGTTATCCAAAAAAAAAAAAAAAAATTTAAGACATTAGAGGGGCTGGTCATGGTGGAACATGCCTTTAATATGCTTTTAATCCCAGAATTCAGGAGGCAGAGACAGGTGGATCTCTGTGAGCTCAAGGCTAGCCTGGTCTACACAGTAAGTTCCAGATCAGCTGAAGCTACAGGGAAACCCTGTCTCAAAAAATATAATAAGAGATGGGGCTAAAGAGATGGCTCAGTGGTTAAGGGCACTGGCTGCTCTTGCAGAGGACCTGGGTTCAGTTCCCAGAATCCACATGGCAGCTAATGACTATCTGTAATTCCAGTGCTAGGAGAATCCAATGCCCTCTTCTGACTTCCAGGGGCATTGCACAACACGGCTGTCCTTACACACATGAAGGCAATACACTCATACACTGAAAATAAAAATAATAAGTAAAAAAAAAATTTTTTGGTTTTCTTGAGACAAGGCCTCCCTATAGCCTCAGCTGGCCTTGAACTCACAGAGATCCACCAGCCTCTGCCTTCCTTGTGCTGGGATTAAAGGTGCACACCACCATGCCCGGCTATAAAATATTTTTTTAACAAAAGAACCTGGGGGCTGGAGAGATGGCTCAATGGTTAAGAGCACTGGCTGCTCTTGCAAAGGACCCAGGTTCAGTCCCAAGCATCTACCTGGCAGCTAACAACTATTCATAACTCCAGTTCCAGGGAATCCAACACCCTTTTCTGACTTCCATGAGCATTGCACAACACAGGTGCACCTACTTACATGCAAGCAATACACTCATACACATAAAAATAACAAATAGCCAGGTGTGGTGGCGCACACCTGTAGTCCCAGCACTTAGGAGGCAGAGGTAGGCGGATCTCTGTGAGTTCAAGGCCAGCCTGGTCTACATAGTGAGTTCCAGGACAGCTGAGGCTACAGGGAGACCCTGTCTCAAAAAGACAAATAATAATAATAATAATAAATAAATAAAATATCAAATAATAATAATTAAATTAAATTTAAAAAGAACATGAGGGGGCCAGGCATGGTGGCACACACCTTTAGGTGGCAGTACTCAGGAAGCAGAGGCAGGCAGATCTCTGTGAGTTTGAGGCCAGCCTGGTCTACATAACCAGTTCGTTCCAAGCCAACCAGAACTACATAGTGAGACCCTGTCTCAAGAAAATAAATAAAAATAAATTTGAAAAAAAAAGACATGAAACTTGGTATGGTGGCACATACCTTTAATCCCACCACTTGGGAGGCAGAGGCAGCGGATCTCTGTGAGATCGAGGCCAGCCTCAACCATATAGTGAGTTCCAGGCCAACTGGGCTACAGGGAGACCCCATCTCAAAAAGACCAAAAAACCCCAGAAAATATCATAATAAAACCCATTATTATATATAATTAATATGTGCTTTTAAAAAAAAGTCAGAGAGATAGCTCAGTAGATAAAGGCACTAGCCAAGCAAGCCTGACAACCTGAGTTCAATTCCTGAAACCCACATAAAAGTAATTCCAGTACTCCTAAAGCAAGATGGGAGGTGGAGACAGAACTCGCCAGAAGTTCAAGGGCCAGCCTGGAGTATGGAGCACAGCCACAGAAACAAGAGAGAACCTTTTCTACAAGGTGGAAAGAGAGAACCCACTCCTGAAAGCTGTCCTCTGACAGCAGCACACCATGACGCTCCAACACGTCATTAAACAGGGAATGGTGGTGAAAGACTATCATCCCCAGGACTCGGGAGGTAGAGGCAGGAAGACCAAGAGTTTAAGGCCAGCTTCATCTGTACAGTAAATTCCAGGTCAGCCTGGGCTACATGAAATCTTATTTTGAAACACAAAATAAAACAGAAAAACCTAAAGAAAATAAATTACCTGAGCATACAGTAAGCAGAGGCTCCAGGAGGATCTCAAGTTGGAGACTAGCCTGGGCTACACAGCAAGACCTTATCTCCAAAAAAGGAAAAAGGAGAGCAAGCATCAAGCTGTTTGTTTTTTTAATTCTCAATCTTTAGAAAACAAAAGGATAAACAAATCCTGTCTACCCACAATCTATACTCTGTTTGTTTGAGATAGGTTCTCTGTAGCCCAGGCTGGCTCCAACCCAAAGGAATCCTCTGGCCTCAGCCTCCCCAGAGCTGAGGTTACAGGCATGCATCACCACTCCTGGCTTACACAGTCCACACTTCAGCAGATTCTGTTATGGAGCATAAGGAAAGATCCAGCTGCAGAGATGGGGGGGCCTGAATGGTGGGCAGAGCTGAGAGCTTGTGGCTTGGAGACAGGAAGTCTCCATAACCAGCAGCGTGAGCCGAAGAGAGAGGACCAATGAGTCAGAAGGAAGTGACACAGCCTCCTGGCTTAGACCAAGTGATAAGGCAGCCCTAGAGACTCTTTACAACTACCCAGATCTCCAGCTCCTGGGGCAGAGACCCAGGAATCTGTTTGCAGATGCTGCCACAGGTGAGTCTCATCACCAGGAAAAACTGGAGCTACTCAAGTGTAGATGACAGATGGTGTCATGCTAAAAAGCTGTGTCAGCAGTAAAGAAAGAATATCTGAAAAAAGTGTGTGTTCAGTACAGCGCCTAAGGTCAGAGTTACTAGAGGGTGGAGGTGCTGAGAAGGAAATAAACCAAAGGGCACCAGCCTCAGGGACCAGTGACGTTTGAAATGGTTAGGGGAGGGAAGGAAGCTGGCATGGAGAGCTGCTAGGTAAGGCTGGAGAGGTGAATGCTGCAGGTCCATATAGCTGTACCAGGCCCAGCAAACATCTAAGATTCAAACATCTAGATTTACTAAAACAGACTGGGGATAAAAAGCAAGTAGATGGCCAGGCTCAGTGGTGCACACCTTTAATCAAAGTGCTTAGGAGGCAGGCAGATCTCTGTGAGTTCAAGGCCAACCTGGTCTATGTAGCAGTTCCAGGCCAGCCAGGGTTACACAGTGAAACCTTCTCAAAACAAAACAAAACAAAACAAACAAAACAAAACAAAACAAAACAAAACAAAACAAAACAGTGGTTCTCCATGTTGGCATCACCCAGGAAGTTGAGGGTGGGGGTAATATCTCGGGGGGGCCCTCAAACCTAAAATCTTCCTGCCTCAGCCTCCAGAGTACTGGGGTTACAGGTGCATGCCACCACACCCAGCTGCCTAAGGGCTTTTAAAAATCCCAACCCTTGGGCCAGAGAGATGGCTCAGCAGGTAAACGTGCTTGCTGCCAAGATTGATGACCTGAGTTCCATTCCTGGGACCTATATGGTGGAAGGAGAGAACTGACTCCCTCAGATTGTCTTCTGACCTCCAAGTGTACCCTGTAACAAATAAATAAATAATAAATAAACAAACAAATATCCCAACACAAAGCTGAGGATGTAACTTACAGTGTTTATCTAGCATGTGTAATCTCTCTGGTTCAATCCTCAGGGCTACATAAACCAGGTAACAGAGGAAGTGGTTGGTACCAGAGCAGGGAC